GTGGCAAAAACTGGTTCAAAAATTAAAAAAAAAAAAAAAACCTACTTCAGAACAAATAATAGAAACAAATCAAAATGTCAAGCAAATAAAGGAAGCCACTAAATAACAGAGTCAAAGTAGAAAAGCAGGAACAGAAATAGCCATATGTTTTTTCCAGCTTCTGTCCTATTATTAGCCACACGTGAGGAATGGAGTGACCACTTTTACCACTTATATCTAGCAGGAGGCTGAATTTTATTTATTTTAGTTTTTGCTGAACAGATCAATACTCTTGGACATCCCATTTTTTCCTTCTTGAGTGGAACAGACATGTTGATCCAATTAATTTCTATCCAACAAATGTAGAAGATAAAGCCTGACAGTCCATCATTATAGATTTTCCCTGTAGGGCAGGTCGGTGGATGCTCTGTCCAGTTCAAATTTACAGGAAGTGAGTAAAAGCTCAGCATCATGACTTGGCTCTGAGGCTTCTCCAGAGCTCCCCGACTGTGATAATTTGACTCAGATGATAAGTTTCTGGCTCACTTCATCTGTACTCCCTAACAGACCCACAAAGATCTGGCTGCACCCTAAAGCAGGGTCAGCGGATCTCTGAAGGTTCCTCGTGGCTTTTTGAAGGGTCACAGGAAAGGTTAAAATCAGATATTAAAAGAAAAATGCAGGAGACAGACATTCTCACTCTTATTAGCCTAATTTCAGTACAGACCATTTTGTAAAGCCCTTTATAACTGAAACGATGAAGTGGGTGTGTCTGCATCCAAGGTGTACCTGTTCTCTGGAGCGTTGGTCAGGGAGACTACAATGTTCTGGTCGATGAAGATGAGGAGGGCCAAGAGGAAACCGAGGCCCATAGCGCTGACAATGTTCATGGCCGACAGCCGCTCGAATGGGGCTACGCTGAAGACGGGCCGGTCTTTAAAATTAAAGACCGGAACTTTTCATAAAGGAAGGAAAAACAGGAACCATGAGTTTTGTTTAACAAAGATTTTTGACATTTTAAAAATACTTTTACATAACATTAGATTAAGACATGAACTAACTGATTATGTCACTGTCATAAAAATCAGCTTAACACAGGATTCTGTTACGTTAATGTACTGCGGAGTGTTTGGAGGGAAAATACAGCAAGTGGTAGGACATGTAAAGAATCCGTGGCCTAAAAAAAATCACTACCAATTCTTCCAAAACTCAGCCAACCAGCAGAGCAATCAGAGTCTGGGCAGACAAAGCAATAGCACAACTACTGGATTGTTTTGAGAACACCTACTGGAGTGTTTCTGATAATTCTGACCTGGAACAGTACACTTCCCCCGTCCTGCCATATATCAACTTTTGCATTAATAATGTCAATACTGTTAAAAAAAAAGTGAATTCCCTAACCAGAAACCTTGATTTAACAGTAAGGATTTTGCTAAGGCTCAGAGATGTGTCCTACAGAGTGATGCCACAGCCTACAGCCTAGCAAGAGCAAACTCCAAACTTGCCATTAAAGAAGCAAGAGATACTTACAGAGGTAGGATAGAGGACAACTGTTACAATAATGACCCCAGGCACATTTGGCAAAGCACAAGGGCCATTCCAGACTATCTGAAAGCATTAACCCCTCACTGGCAGATCATCTTAACATGTACTTTGCCTGTTTTGATGCAGATAACACTAAGGTTGTGGCTGCCACCAGATCACAATGAACTGATACTGGACATTGATGAGGTCAGGAGGACACTGCACTGCATGGACACAAGGAAAGCAGCGGGACCTGATGCCATGCTGGGGTGTGTGCTTCAGGTATGTGCAGACCAGGTGGCAGAGGTCTTTACAACAGCTTCAACCTCTTTCTGAGCAACGCTGTTTCCCAGTGTGCCTCAAAACACCAACCATCACACCTATACTTAAGCAAAAAAACTAAGCAGCTTGAATGCAATTGCACTCACCTTGGTGATGGCCAAATGCTTTGAGAGACTCTAGATCAACGCACCATTCCTGCCACTCTAGATCAACACCAGTTTGAATATCGTCTACAGAAGATGCAAATCTGCGCTGCACTTCACAGTGCACTTGATCAACCTGAAAGACCTGGCACATATATCAGGATGCTCTTTTTGACCTTCACTTCAGCTTTAAACACCGTCATCCCTAACATACTGGTATCCAAACTCCACAGCCTGGGCCTACATTCAGCCATCTGTAACTGAACCCTGGATCTCCTTACAAACTGCCCCAGCCTGTCAGGCTAAGAAAACGCATATCCTCCACTCTCACCTTGAACACTAGTGTCCCACAGGGTCGTGTTCTGAGCCCCCTCCTATACACCCTCTTCACCCAAGACTGTTTACCTCTTCACGCATCAAACACCATCATTAAATTTGCCCATGACACAACAGTCCTTTCGGATGATGACGAATCAGCATACAGAGAGGAAGTACGAAAACTGACAACCTGGTGTTCAGTAAACAATCTCATTCTTTACAGTAAGGAAACAAAAGAGACAATTGCGGACTTTCACAGGACAAGGAGAATAAATCCAAGTCCAGTGTTCACTGATGGCAAAGCTGTGGAGAGAGTCTCCAGTTTTAAATTCCTGGGGAAGAACGTCACAGATGACTTCTCCTGGTCCATCCAAACCACTAATGTTACTGTGAAGGCTCAGCAGTACCTCTTTTTCATAAAGAAGCTGAGGAGACCCAGTCTGCTACCGAACCTTCTGGTCAACTTCTACAGGTGCACTGTGGAGAAAATCTTAACATACTGTATTTGCAGCATGGTTTGCAAGCCCCATCAAGACCAGAAGGCTCTGCAAAAGGTGAGTAAGACAGCCCAGCACGTCACTGGAACTCACTTGCCAGCTAATGGGGACATTTATCAGGCTAGGTGGAGGAGCAGGGCCTTCAACATGGCCTCCGACCCAACACACCCTGCCAACCACCTTTTCCAGCTACCCCACTTTGGCAGGCGACACAGGACACTACACACAGTCCCAACCAGATTAAATAACAGCTATTCCCCTCAAGCTGTTAAACTGCTGAACATGGCAGGACAGTCGACCCCCGACTCTCACAACCACGCTCCCAATCACACACAAACATACTGACACACTGTGCGAGTACAGATGCTCGGACTATTTTTATTATGCGCCTTCTGCTGCTATTAGTATTTTATGCATTTTGCACTTATTTTCATTTTTAACATGCCTTAATGTTTTAAATAGTTTTGTTTAATGAGAAAGTCTACTCAGAGTGTGCCCTTGAAATTTCATTGTATTGCTGTTTTACACTGCAATATAATGACAATAAACCTCATCTACATCTACATTCCATCTTCACAAAAATCTGTTGCGATGACTCATGCTTTCACACCGATAATCATTTTGTATGAGTGGCTGGATTTTTTTTCAAATCCTGGATATCTCATTTAGGACTGTGTCCCCTCAAATGCTGCAAAATTAAGTGCAGTTAGTTAAATTTAGGAAGAAATGACAATAAAATAATGGGTCTATTATCTTATGACTTACTGTCTCCAGAGGTAAAAGAACAGAAAATTGGCCAGGCACTTAAATTTAAATTCACTGGAGGGTTTGGTGTTCATCTCCGTGCTTCTGTATCGACCCCTGGAGAACAGCTGCTGCCTTGGCAACAATGAATGGAGACTCACAATGATGTGAAACAATAGAGACTAAAAACTGAAAATCTCCAATGTGCTTTGGCCTGTGCCTTGATTGAGTAACAAAGACAATAAAGGGACTAAATAAAGGAGGCTTCATAGTTTGGCAGTCTGTCTGGGAAGTAAATGGGCCCTTCCACAGGTCTGAACCAGAGGCCACATCCCTTAGAGCAAAGAACCTCAGTGACTCGCAGTGTTATCAAAAGATATGCTTATAACAAACCCACTAAATGTAAATTCAAAGAAATACACATGCAGATGCCAGAAACCAACTCCTTTTTTCCTCAGTCACTGCTAATTACCCCACCGTTTGTTAAAAGCTGAGAGAAATCAATGGCCAACTAGTCAGTTTATTGGGTACACCCATCTAAAACTTATGTAGTTGTCTTCAAGAAGGTGATTGGTCAAACCCTTTGAGACAGGTGTTGATTCAACTGTATGATCATTTTGGAAGATGTCATTTGTGGTGAACAGTACTGCACTATACCAACAGCTGTTTGTGTGAATTTGTCCATCCATTTATATCAATGAGCCTAGGTTAAATGACAGAAACACCGCTCTGTATAATGCAGTACAGTCCATATCCAATCATCATCGAGCTTTTCTGTTGTGCGTTTTGTTAACAGTGAGCTTAAATTAACATTGACATGAAAACATATATTCAGCAGTGTAATTTTATTCAGTATTGGGTTCTGGATCTCTTTAGAATGAACTGAAGAATTATAGTGGCTGTGATTAAGGATCTATACAGCAGACCACCCATTAATCCTAGAGACGACTGATGGCTCAGTCCCTGGCTACACCTGTCATGATCCATGACCAAGACAATGAACCCTAACTGCTTCCAGCGGGAGTGAGTATGGTTCTGCTGCCATCTTTGTGTGACTGTGTTAGTACCTGGGAGAATGAGCAACACATTACTTTGGCCCAGGTTACAATACACAAACATTTAGAATTTAATATAGCTGTGATCTGCATCTCTGACTTGCTCTTTTCAACCTAAAAGTATAATTACAGCTATGATGAAAGAAGCTGTTGCAAACCAACAGATACAGTACATTCTATGATAAGACAAAAAAAATTATCATGAAAAACTGCTCTATCATCAAGTGTTCAGTTAAGCAGGACATGATACTAACGCTCAATGTCACTGAAGATGTAGGACCCGATGAAGGAGAAGAGGAGCACAGAGATCGGCAGGGCACAGTCCGACAGCACCTCCCTCACTTTGGCATGCAGGAACGGACTGAAAGAAAGGCAGTGGGCAGGAAGAGACACAGCATGGAGGGAAACAATTACTATGGACAAGACAATATTGGGCAATGGCTGTAATCCTGATGCTACTCAAGTACACAGGTCCACCTTTTGGTTACACAACTGATGGTCATTTGATTACTGGGAGCAATCAGAAGTAGAATACTAAAGCTTATTAAATCACAGATGAAGGTTCCTGCAGGCTCTCTCACAACTGATAATGCTCAGAGGCAAGGCTCTGTGTACTCAGTAGTATTCATCCTAGCTGGAGGTGCTCCCATCTAAGCATGACTTAAACTTCTCCTGTGACTTATTTTATAGAGTGCTGCCACATTGCGACTACCTTCTTTTGAACTGGTAAAGCGTGTAGCCCATCCATAATGTCCCGAGCATCAGCAGGAGGCAGAGGACAGGCCTCTCTCGAGTGCACTGGATGAGGGATTCAGGGAGGGTGTTGAACACCAGCCCAGCTACTTCACTCCTGTTGCTTCCCAGCAGGTTTCCACCCTGAGGATAGCCCTCTGTGCTCCTGTTAGTCAGCGTCGGGGCGTGATAGTATCTGTGAAAGACTGAATCACATCCACAGAGTTCGGTTAAGTATGGAGGTGACCATAAGATGACTGACTAGTGGCCCAGTACATACATATACATATGATTTTTCCATTTAGCACTACTATGAGATGGCCATTTCTGGTTTTGGGTTAAATGTCTCGACTATTAATTATTTGATTTCTTATGAAACTGTGTTTATTCATATTGGTCTTAATAAATTAAGTAGTCCTTTCAGAGTTTTTTCTGCCACAGAAAGGCTTTCTGCAGAGCATCTTAAGCTGAGTGGACATAAAAAAGACCTTTAGGTGACATGAATGAATGCATGCTGAAAACGGGGAGAATTCTATATACTGACCTAAATAATAAATAAATACAATAAAATATACTTTTGACTATATGTGTTGCCAACAACTTTCTTAGAATAATTTAAAACTCCCCCATGTTTCAAATTTCCCCCTCCCTGACCTACAATGCACCTAAGCCCTAGGAGAACCCTGCCTTTAGCTTTTCTCAGATACTACTTACAAAACTACATGCTCATCTGCTAATCTGCAAATGTTAGCATGATAAAATGCTAAACTAAGGTTGTGAACATGGCACGCATTAAACCTTGTGAGCATGTTAGCATGGTTTTACCTTTAAGCATCACAGTGCCTAAGTAAGTTTGTGTTGTTTATGCGGCAGTGAGCACAGACACCCAGGGAAAATGCTAAATTTAGGTGAACTGTTTGATGAAGAGACATGGGTGACAAGGACCGTAAACTCTGCAGGGAGAGCTGCAGGAGAGAAAACACCACAAAACCGAGAAAACACTTCAGCTGAGCTGTGGCTCTGCACTAAAAACACGATCAACTGGATCAACTCAAAGACTCACCCAAGACACATAGACCTGTTTTATCTGAATGTGGATATTTGGCTCACACATGTTCTTATGTTCCCAATTTGATCAACAGATCAAGTTTTTTACAACTCAGTTTACTGAGTAAAGTGAAGTTGTTTGTTTCAGTGATTTTGAAATTGTAATTCATGCTTTTGGCAGTTTCAGGCTTGACTACTGCAACAAACTGTACCCTGGCATCAGTCACTCATCGCTCTGTCGCCTTCAGATGGTCCAAAATGCTGCTGCTCATCTTCTGACAAGCACACATAACTCTGACCATGTAAACCCTATTCTGGCCTCTCTCCACTGACTTCCAGTTTGGTTTAGAACTGATTGCAAGTTGTTGAGTTTTGCTTTTAAGGCTTTAAATGGACTGGCACCTCTATACCTCGGCGATCTGAAACGGTGACCTCTTAGGTCATTTTATTAGGAGGTACAAAGGTCCAGGCACCAATGCCTGGGGCGACTGTGCTTTTGCCATAATGGCTCCTAAACTATGGAACAGTTGAATTCTCAGTGTTAGATCTGCCTCGGTCCTTTTAAATCTCTGTTTAGGACCTATTTATTCATTTTATACAGCCATGTCTGTGCCACACAGGTAGAAAACATAACCCAAAAATGTATTCCTTCTAGCTGCTGGAAAATCTTTTGGACGTAAAGTGTCAACAATATGGCACAGGTTAATGTTATGGTAATGGCATATGAGCTCGGAGCATATTTTACAAATGGTTTCTGAAAATTGAACTACCGCACAGGACAACACTGCATTCAAAATAAATTACATACTGCTATCCTCAGCTCATTTTTTTGGAAATTAAATTGTGTAAAATATTTATGGTATACTAAGTCAAGGTGCAGTAAAGGCAAGGGTGGTGCGATATGGCTGCAGGCTGCCTTCAAAATCTGGATTGAATCATTTAGCATGCGGTATCTCTCTCAGCCTCTAAGTCTGCTCACCCAGCAGGGTAGCACAGGAACTTGGGTATGTTTCTCTCTCCACCACTAAACTTTCCAGAGGACTCCCTTTCTTACTCCTGACTAGACAAACTGCTCACTTCTCAGTGGTCTGACCTGCTTTTCTTACACAGGTTAACTAAAATCAGGCATTTGATTGTCTCAGAATGTTTTGTGGTCTTTTCTGGTCATTTGCAATGAATTAACAGCAAGTTAGTGACTACTGGAAAATTATTTCACAGTAATATTCGAAAACATGGTTTGTTCTTTAATAAGCACTACATTTTAAGAGAGCCTTCTGCAAGACAGCAGTCGTCTGCCAGAGGAAATTAATACTCAGCAAAACTATCGACTATGACAGTTTTTAATTAAAGGGGCTAAATAATTAGTTAAAGAGATCTTATGATTATCAGTCAACAAAGGATTCTTCAGGTGGGGACAGCCACACTAATTAATGAGCTGCTTAAATTATAATCTCAAAAATTCTGTTATAATGCAGGGCAACTTCAAAACCTCTTACCGATTTAAAGGTATTGTGTCACTGGAATTAAGATCTTAAAAGTCAGACATGAGCTTGAGGGTAACACTTGGCTAAGTTAGGACTGGTGGTGCATCCGACAGCAGGTATGATACCAGTGTTAGCGCTGACTAGCAGCTGTACAGTGTTCAACTGTGAGAACAGTGATGTAAATGAGCTGCGGCATCCATCGTGTGTTAGGACTCACTTTTCACTGTGCCTTTCACTGCATCAACCACAAATGCAATGGAAATGAACAGGGCGATGACCTCCTCTGTCGATCTGGAAAAACAGAACCATTATAGAAATGGCAGGCAAGTTTATAGTAGCACAAAAATGTTTTAGGAAAATATCAGTATAAAATGAAATAAACAGCCACACATACTATTTTGTTCACTTATAAAACACAATTTAAAGTACTTGTGAATTATATACCCTAAAAATAATATAAATAAAATGTATTTTAATATATTGTTTGTATTATAATTTACAGTACACCTTTGTGTATTGACGCTGAACATAGACCTACAGGCAGATATACTAGGGTACTGCAGTTAGAGCTGCAGCTATGGATAATTAATCAATTAGCCAATCAAGAGAAAATGATTAACTGCTGTATTTTATAATAATTTTCAAATAATTGTTTAATTCATTTTTAAAGTGAAATAGAAAATGGATATGCTCAAATAAAACACACTATTTCAATCCATCACCAGCAGGGAAAATTAACATGCTGTTGTTGTTTGGTTTAAAATACAGTTTATAGATAAAATTGTCAACTGATTTAAAAAAAAATTTAAAAATCAGCAAATTAACTAATAATGAAAAGAGTTAGGTGAAGCCTTAGTGAAATTAAATCTAAAACCAAACAAGACTGACTAAAACTAGGCTGAATTTTAAATAAAAATCTTAAGGTTTCAGTTTGCATGCTTGTCAGTTTTTTTTTTATAAAAACCTAAAATGATCTCAGACTCTGAATAGAAGCTAAATGAACTAAAGTGAAATGATTTGCTACCAAAGACAAGTGCGATGCAGCAGCGACACAGAAACACAAAGCAGATAAACACAATGTAACAAATAATACAAAGCAAAACTGTTTGAGCATAAACAAAGAGCACAAATGTAAATTAAGCACCCTGACAAAAATACAAATCCATTAAAAATGTCAATTTAGATCCTCACTACATTCAGCATGTACTTCTATTGCTTCCTGTCATCTTTTCCTTGGCAGCAGAGGGGACGAAGGAGTTCTGATACTGTGGGTGTCGGCTAAAGGGACTTTTTAAAGGAAACCAGAGGGAAAGATCTGAAACGCTGGTGGCTGTCAAACAAGAATGAATTTCACTTTCTTTATGAAGGGTTTGTTGTAACAGACAGACTTCTGTTGAGTGCCAGTGATTCTGCTGCAGACACAGTCGTGACCAGCCAATTTAAAACCTTCTTCTTGACAGAGAGGGAAGCACGGCAGCTGATTAAAAAACTGAGAATCGATTCCATAAACTGGATTGTGCTGAAATGAATGATTAAAGCGAGTTCAATTTGAAAGTGTGCGTGGATGAGAAATACCTTTTGAAGAGCTTCATGAGCAGGCTGACGTTGAAGATCCCTCCCAGGATGAGGAAGAGACAGTTCCACAGACCGATGCAAGCATAGAAAGATGGGAAGTCCAGGTCGTAGTCGTCACAAATTCCTCGAATTACTGCCAGGTTGCACACAAAAACACTGTACATTAGCACACATCATAAAAACATGAGATATTACACACCCTTATTATCAGTTTGCACCCACAACCTCTGGACTGGCTGTGTGGAACTCCAGTTGACTGTCAGCTTCTCCAAGCTAATGCAGATGAGCCACCAGTAAACATTTCATTCCCTCACACTGAACTGCCTCATCAGCTTGGTTGCAATGTGGACAAACAGCGTAGCACCATCACAGAAACAATCATTCATTCACTCCAAATGATATCCAATGGCGATAAGAAGTCCACAATATGATATTTGTCACATTAAAAAATAAAAAAAAGCCTTTTATTTACTTTATTATCAGTGGGTCTTTTATGATTTTCCTTTTAACGTAAAGTGCACCTGCTTTCCTTGTATATTAAAAGGAAAGCAGCCAGCCATGAGCTAAGCATGTTTAAAAACCTGGCATGAATTATCATTGGTACTGAATGAGCTGTTTGTACAACTGCAGCAGGCAGTAGCAGTGCTTTTATGAAATAAAATAAAGTAATATATTATTGCAGCAGCTGAATCTCACAGTGGAACATCAGTGTTTTAGTTTCCCCCTAGGCAGGTTTAGCTTTCTCTGGTGGCCTGCCGGTTCTGTGTCACTGGACCAGTTAAAGCGGGCTCCCCCCGACCACCGGGGGCAGGATTGAGCAAATTGCAGTTTGGTGCACCAGAATGAGGAGAAAGATGCCAAACTACAATTGGACAATCCACATAAACGTGAGATTTGTGTTTTTCTGGAGGAGCTTTTCAAACATTGCGGTCTACTTTTTCAAGAGAAAAGACTTGGGGATGGTTACTAAGTGGCTGGTTTTGCAGATGTGCGTCTGGTTTGTTTGCCCATCTCTGTTAAAATGTCATGTCCTCACTGCTTCTGCAAGGTGCATCTATGAGTGTCTCAGTCCTAAAGAGGGCTAGTGTTGTCTTCGTCCAGCAGGGATTGCAAATTTTTTGGCAGTTTCCTTTCCACCCATGTCATTTCTTGAAATGAGAAAACTGAAATGTTGCCACACAACATCTGTAAAAGTTGGCGATGGAGCAGCCACTATGTTGGTATCAAATAATGTGACATGAACGCAGTCATACTAGCGAAATAACCATATGTAATATCCTGTTAAATACTGTCACAGTTCCACAATGGTTTTGAGAAATTACAAATACTATTACATCCCTACTCCAAACTATTCAAAATTCAGCCAAAATGCGCCAACAGGACATTGAGTGCTGCTAATTTAATCAGGAAATAAAAACAATGTAGGTTAATAAGAAAGAATTTGTAAATACAGATGCTTTGATAAAAAATTAAAAATGAACAAAAGACCAATTTCCAATGTTACTGATGAAAAACTTAAAACACTTCTCTATCAGCTGTAGCAGAGATTGACTTTACACACACAAAGAAAGGGAAACAACACATTTAATACCAAACATTAACAGAACAAAAGACATGTAATGCATTTGTTAATCATAACAATATAGTTGTAATCTTGAGCAGACCTGTGCACAGATGAGCAGCTTTACAAACAAGTCATCGCTCTGGTCAGATAGGCTGCTGTGTAAATGTACCATAATTATCCCCGTGAAAATGTTCTCAGCACAGTTTTAACCCGTTTACTTCAAAGATCATCAGGCTGCAAACCCAACAATCAGCTCTGATATTAAATCCATATTCTGTGTCAGAGTTGCTGACTTTCTTCATCACTGCCTGATTCTGCAGCTTCCACTTGTCAAGATCATTTAAATTCCAACCAACAAAACACTGCTGTTGGGGAAGAACCATACAACAGTTTGTGCTGCTGTCTAACTGCACTGAATATAAATTTTACATCTTTGTGCATGGGATGGGTGAGTTTCCTGACCCACAGGCCCCTGAAACCAACTATTATATAACATCAGTGAAGGAAAAAAAGGCTGTTTCTTCCTAAAAACATTTCTGGAGATGTGCACTTCTTTCTCTCCTGCACTAGAGCTCTCATTAGGAACATATGTGTGAACAAACAGTTAAACCAATGCTGCTGTTTCCTGGTAAAAGAGAAAGCACGAGGAGTTTCTAGCTGCCGTTCTCCTCGGCTGGGTGCCACCTTCTCTTGATTTTTGACATAATCTTCTTAGTACCCCACCCACCCCCAGCCTCCTTCCCAAAACAGCCGTTGGCACAAACTGTTAAAAGATTAGTGTACCTCAGTGGAGCTGAGCTGAATAAAAGAAGGGAAGCCTACCACTGATGAAGATGGCGAGGGGAGCTGTGGTGAGAGGGATGACTAGAGGAGAGCCGGCGAACAACGAGTAGACGACCCCGCCGATGCTCTGGCCAATGATGGTCTTCCGAACATCTGGCCAGAGAGGACACACACCGAGAAAACTCAGGAGGAAATGCTGATTAATGTGCATGAGTGTCTGCTGGGTTTTACTGTAGAGCAGAAGCCGAAGCACACTGCAAATTAATCTTAAAATGAGGCAGACACTTTTATTTTACAACTACTTTAAAGCTACACTAATCAATATCTTTATACAACACTGTATGACATGACTACTTGACAGATAGATAGATACTTTATTGATCCTGAGGGAAATTCTGGATACTCATACTCAAAGCAGTCATTCACACTGACCCTTAAGAGTTTAATCACACAACTTTGAAGCTTTATAGAGCTGTTGGTTTTATGATGCATTTATTTCTGGTTCAGTCAGCTGAGAGGAGCATCAGGTTCTCACAGCAGTGACTTCCAAAGTCAAGGCTGAAAGAGAATTGATGACATTACTCCTGAAGCTGTAAGGAAGTCCCTCTAAAACAAGGGTGGGCAATTCCAGTCCTCGACGGCTGCTGTCCTGCTCGTTTTCCAACTATCCCTGCCTGACCTGCTGCTGATTACCTGGCTCAGGTGTGTACAGTCAGTCAGAAGCTGGAAGATACCAATTCACTTTATCTTTCCTCACTCCACTTTCATCTAAGATGGTATCTTCTGACCAGCTTCTGACTGACTGAACACACCTGAGCCAGGTAATCGGCAGCAGGTCAGGCAGGGATAGTTGGAAAACAAGCAGGACAGCGGCCCTCGAGGACTGGAATTGGACACCCCTGCTCTAGAACATCATGCACACAGCAAAGTTCTGCTTTAAGTCTGGACAATCTTTATGTCAGGATATTTCTTGGGAGAATGTGAAAAGGAAATTTCCAGTCTCTCAGAAAGGTGTTTACGTGTTTACAGTCGAGTACAAGCTCATACCGATCTCACCACGTGTGGTCTCATCATTGAGGGAGCCGAAAGCGATGGCGGGGAGGAGGATGGCAATGTAGAGGAAGATAGCTGTGGTCATGTACTTCAACAGGGTTTTATTACTGCCAACTATACCTGAGGGGAGACAAATACAAACACATGAGTCATAGTCACCTCATAATGAAGCGGAGGAGGCTCTACACTTTAATTTCAAAATGACAAAAACATTAGCAGACTTCATCATTCAGTGCCTGGAAATATGGAACATGCGGTATATTAGAGTGAAACTCTTCTAGCAAGGCTCACGCTACCTGCTACCCTTCTTCACAGTACGAGTCATTTGTTTTAGTTTGGTGACATCCATCATTTAATAAAAGAAGTTATTGCTTTTATCCAAATGATGGATAGCTCATTTAGGAATAACACACTTTAACTGGGCTCTAATGTGATCACAATGATTTTAGCCATGTGACTTTCATCAGATGATCATTATCAGACAGAAATATCTTGATTTTGTTACAGCCCCATGAACGTGTTTGGATGTTATGAAATGAGAAAGGGCTCAAAGTGAGTAGCTGAGGAGGAGGAGGCAGCTGGGAAAATCTTCTCCTTATCTATACTTTACCGAGTCTCTTTTAACAAATCGAGCGAGTCATATCTGGTTGAATTAAGTTGTTCATGTTAAAATATAAACTCATGAAAATCATTTAGAGAGCATCTCTGGCAGTAACTACAACTGAGACAATTCAGAAATATTTATTTTCTCCTTTTGAACAATATCAGTTTCCAAAGGTCAGGATGTATGTGTCCATTTATTTGACTGGAAACAGAAACCCTTTGTCATGAGCGTGACCTGATCAGTGAACGAAACCACCAGCCTGCTGTGGGGATGTACAGGCTAATGTCCCTGTCTGATGAAATGACACTAGCGCTGGAAATAAGGAACATCTGGGAGAAGTAAGACATCAGAGTCACTTTAGCAGAAGAAGACCTTAGATGTGACACAGATGCATCTGAGGCAGAGGACGACAATCGAGGTGCTGCCAGCAGCACCCCGGTGTCGCATAATAAGGACGATGATTCACTATCGCTACAAGTCCAGGTCCAGCCTACCATCTGTGAAGTCAGAGGCGTAGAAAGGCAGTCTGCGGCGCAAGTCCTCGTAAATCCCCCGGCCGGCTTTGAAGAAATCTTTGCACTGTGGGCAGAAGGGAGAAGGTTAAATTCTCAGTGTTTAGACACCAAAAGAAAACAGTCAAATTAATTCAACAATGTATGAAGGTTGACAGAAATCTTTCTCTTGCTGCTGAAGCCCTGAACCGCAAACTTGGATGTAATTGAAATCACTGACATCTCTGGTCTATTGATAAAACAGTTGCCGTAGGTCTCCAGACAAATAACACTGCTGAGCTCATACATGTTTGGAAAAGCCACTAAATTAAAATGCAACTTTCAAACACAGCTCAATTGTACTATATTTGTTTTTAGTACTAATTATCACTGACAGTGTGATGTGCTGATGTTTTGCTGTTATTCATTGTTTTTATTTCAGCTAACATTTGGGAAAAGTGAGACATAAAAAACACAAACTGCTTTTGAAACACTCATTGCCTACTGGTGGCTGAAGTGTTACGAACAGTGGTGCTAGTATGACTCTCCACCTGTAGGTGGCGTAGGTCCATATGTGCTGATCTAGTCTGTCATGATGATTTGACAGCTCCTTCTTGGAGAAACTACAACCAGCTAAACATGAACGACTTTGCAGATGAATTACAAACCAGTTCCATGAGGTGCTTCTCAGCTCAACACTTACTTATTTATACATGTTTTTTTCAAAATTTCCATTTTGCTTTTGGGCATTTGACTAATTGTCTGATGAAGAAACGCAGAAGCATGAAAAGCCTGAAGCTTCACCTTACTGACCCCAGCTGTGGACAATCAAATCACATTTTATTTGTATAGCACCAAATCACAACAAAAGTCATCTCAGGACACTTTACAAAGTAAGGTCTAGACCTTACTGTTATCAATATTATTACATAGGGAAAACCCAACAAATCCCCCTTGAGCAAGCACTTGGTGACAGTGGGGAGGAAAAACTCCCTTTAACGGAAGAAACCTCCGACAGACCCCGGCTCTTGGTGGGCGGCCTTTTGCCTCGACTGGTTGGGGTGAGTGGATAGAGGAGAGACAAAAGAAGAAAAGCAACAAGACACAACAATCAAACACTGATCAGGTCGATGTGGCTGGTGACTGCTCGTCAGAGACATAGAGCTCCAGGGCCAGGGCAACCTGCAGAAAGGTACAGGGAGAGAGAGAGGACACACTACGGGAGGGAGGAGACACACAGTTAGTGATGTGTAATGGTGAGTGATGCACCAAAATGAAAATTCTGGGCCGAAACCGAAACCGAAAATTTAGGATGCATTTGGCCGAAAACCGAAACAAAACCAAAAATGGCTTCTTTTAAAAACTTCAAATTTTTAAAACACGCTTACTCTATAATTGTGTGTATAGATATATATACAGTATATATATATCCGAACTGAGACTGGGAGTTGGTTCCATAGGAGAGGAGCTTGATAGCTAAAGGCTCTGCCTCCCATTCTGCTTCTGTGGACTCTAGGAACCACAAGTAAACCTGCACTCTGAGAGCGAAGTGCTCTGTTAGGATGATAAGGCTCTGCGAGGTCTTTAAGATATGATGGAGCCTTGTCATTAAGGGCTTTGTATGTTAGGAGAAGGATTTTAAATTCTGTTCTGAATTTTACAGGGAGCCAGTGGAGAGAAGCTAATATGGGAGAGATATGATCTCTCTTGCTAATTCCTGTCAGTCCTCTGGCTGCAGCATTTTGGATTAACTGGAGGCTTTTTAGGGAATTATTGGGACATCCTGATAGTAAAGAGTTACAGTAGTCCAGCCTGGAAGTGACAAATGCATTGACCAGTTTTTCATCATCACTTTGAGACAGGATGCTCCTGATTTTTGCAATATTGCGCAGGTGAAAGAAGGCAGTTCTAGTGACTTGGTTTATGTGTGATTTAAAGGACATATTCTGATCAAAGATGACTCCAAGGTTCCTCACAGTAGTACTGGAGGCAAGAGCTATGTCATCTAAAGTAACTATATGATTAGACAGCAGATTTCTAAGGTTTTCAGGCCCAAGCACAATAACTTCAGTTTTGTCAGAGTTTAGAAGTAAGAAGTTGCAGGTCATCCAGGCCTTTATGTCTTTAAGACATGCTTGAAGTTTGACCAGCTGATCTGATTCATTTGGCTTCATAGATAAATATAACTGAGTATCAGATGCATAGCAATGGCAATTTATGTTGTGCTTCCTGATAATATTGCCTAAAGGGAGCATGTATAAAGTGAAGAGAATTGGACCTAACACAGAGCCCTGTGGAACGCCGTGACTAACTTCAGTTTGTGTGGAACATTTGTCATTAACATGAACAATGACACATTTAGATTAAAAGTCATCCATGTGGTGATTCAGCCAAGATGGTGGTGATTCCACAGGGGGCCTCTCTGAAAGATGATCTGAACAATCACATTTAACAAGGCAGCCTGGGAAAAACTTTAATTGTGTAATACAAAGCCAAGTAAGCCGAGCAGCCTGTCTGGATTTAGATGTTCATTTAATGAAGATCCACATTTTCCAAGAATGATCGTGATTGACAGAGAGGTGCAAGGGCTACAAGCCTTAGAGTATTTTTAGAGAGCCCAGGTGGAGGGTGGCTAGGAACAAGCCATGTGTCACAACAGGAAACATGAAGTGCTTCTTAAAAAGATGAGGTTACAGCCGACAAGTCACTGTGCAATCCTGACTGAGCTTATTAAGTAAATTATCCAATTACCCAGTGTTTCATTTTCTTGTAGAACATAGCATTATGCAATTAAATAGAACGGGTGACGAGGGAGAGATGGGGGCGTGCGAGACAGAAAAGCCACTGGGAAAATTATTCCTGCCTCATTTGTCATTTAGAAGAAGTTTTGACGGGTTTTGGCAGAACAAATCAAATTACCTCAGCATAAACCACACTGAAAACAAACAAAAACATCAGCATTTCCTCTCTCTCTCCGAGCGGGCTGGCTAAGCCTTGTTCAACAAGGACTGTTCACCCATTAAAACGCCTGTACATCATGACCTCATCTATTATTACATTCTGCGCGTGGGGCCTGATCTCCAGGTTTTGGCTCGGGTTCAATAAACAAAGTGTCAGGGAGAAATTACTGTCCACCTGTTTGCCATTCGCTCTGAATGCTTCCAATAGTGTGAGGCAACGGAGAGGAGAAACAACACAACAAAGACGTTGCCTTATTTTCTCTCGTATAGGAAAGGTGGCGTGCTCCTGCGGGGGGTCTGATGTCAGTCTGGAATGAGGAAGAAGGTGGAGAAGCTGGGGGGTTTTTCTGTTCCTCTCTGCCTCATGTTCTTATTGTTTCTTTCCTCTTACCTCTCTCTCTCTCTCTCTCTCTCTCTTTCACTGAGTGGCACCAAGTGTTTCGAGCCCTGGCAAAGGAACCTAACAAAATTCTCCCCTAAAATAAAACACACACACACAAAAGAGGGAAATGTCTGGGAGCTCTGGCCTGTCAACAGCAACATGAGAAGGGGATGTTGGTGCAGTGGCATTGAGCACAACATCTCTGGAAGTGTGTGTTAATGTGTGTGCGCACGTGTCGCTAAAGGTTAGGGAGTCCTGACGGGACTGTGAGAGATGTAAGGGCATTTACCCACTAAGGAGGCTTGGCAGGAGCTGATGCTGATTGATTAGAGGGAGAGAAAAGATGGAAGAGTCAGGCCAGTCGAGTGAGAAGAGGAGGTGGGGGGCTGAAGGAGAACTTTAAAAAAGGATTTCAGTGTGTAAATGTATGTGCATAGTCTCAATTCTCTACAGAGCCCTGTGCAGAAATGAGACGACAAATAAGTGAGAAGTGAGGGAGGAAGACGAGAAGCATGTGGAAAATATTTCCCAAAAGACATGCAGCTCTCACACACACACACACACACACACACACACACGCCACTGCCCACCGTGAGGGGTTTGTGACTGCGGGGGTCTGTCTCCTCCTTCCCCAAAGCAATAGGCTGCTGGTTGGCTGCTGTCAGCTGGTGCCGCTGGAACACCAGCGCCTCTTTAAACTCCTCTTGCGTCTTGGTCTCCAGCAGTTTCTGCCTGAAGGAGATGTCAGAGAAGAGGGTGGCGAACGTCCTGCCCAGCTCCATCGCTGTCTTGGTGCTTTTCTGCAGAAGACCACATAAAAGTGGTTGTACATTAAATAAATAAATATAAAAACTGCACAAAAAATTAAGGAACAGTTAAATCACACGTTTGATCTTGATGAACAAATTATTCAAGTTGAAAACCTTCACTGATGTACACTGAATAATTTGTTCAGAACAAAATGACATCGTGAACAATGCAAACCAAAATCATCAACCATGGAAGGCAGCATTCAAAATTAAGGTGAAAAATCGAAATCACAAGCTCATCCATCGTGAAACTCAATGTGACTCAGATGTGTGTGCGGTCCCTGTATGCACCCCCAGCAACATCTAGGCATGCTCCTGATAAGTCGACAGATGGTGTCCTGAGGGATCTCCTCCCAGACCTGGATCAGGGCATCGCAGAGCTCCTGGACAGTCTGTGGTGGTACTGTGGTGTCAAATGCAATGATACATAATGTCCCATAGGTGCTCAGTTGGATTTAGGTCAGCAGAACGTGGGGACCGGTTGGTGGCATCAAGGCCTTCTTCATCCAGAAAGTGCCTCCACATTCTGGCCACATGAGGCCGGACATTGTCCTGCACCAGGAGCAATCCAGCGCCCACTGCACCAGTGTAATGTCTGACAGTCACTCTGAGGATTTCATCCCAGGACCTCACAGCAGTCAAGGTACCACTGGCTATGACATGGAGGTCTGTACGCCCCTCCAAGGATCTGCCTCCCCAGACCATCACTGAAGCACCACAGAACTGATCGTGTGATAATGTTGCAGGCAGCATAACATTCACCACAGCGTCTCCAGACTCTTTCATGCCTGTCGCATGTGCTCAGTGTGAACAAAACAAGGCGCCAGTGGTGGACCTGCCATTTGTGGTGTTCTCTGGAGAATGTCAATCGAGCTGCACGGTGCTGGGCTGTGAGCACAGGTCGTTCTAGAGGACATCGGTCAGAAACAGACACCAGCAGCTGCTGGATGTCATTTTGTCGCAGTGTTCCTCCTGTTCCTCTTTGCACAAAGGAGCAGACACCGGCCTTGCTGCTGGGTTATTGCCCTTCTACAGCCCTGTCCAGCTTGTCCTTGTGTAATGCCCTGTCTCCTGGCATCTCCTCCATGCTGTTGGGAATGTGCTTGGAGACACAGCAAACCTTCTTGCGACTGCATATATGGATGTGTAACTGGACTACCTGTGCCTCCTGACCCGGCTACAGGTAGTCCAGTACAACAACCTTTAACTGGGACCTCAATGATAAACACATAATTGAATTTATACATTTATGACAATTTCACCAAAAGTTAAAACATTTTGTGCTTCATAAACACAGATGTTGAGGCGGACGTGTTGCATTCAAGTGCACACAGTTGCACAGGTGTGACTACTACAGTGGCCAAGCAGTGTATAAATGTCATTTGCAAAAAGTCTTCCAAATATACCAAAGGCACATACATAGCTGTCAAACACTGCAGAGAGCTACAGTACAGAGACATAAATCTGGTCTTGATACTAAGTCCCAGTACATCTAAACAGCACTACTTCAGTCAGGTTGGACTGGTTGGCTTGGCTGATTTGAAGCTGGGAGTTTTGGGGAGCTTCTGCTAATAATTCCACATCTGTTACAAATAATGCTGTCACAAGCCACAGAGTACAACAGACTGATGGTAATATTGTCCTGGCAGGCTCTGAGACAGCGCGGAGCCAGGTGGTGATGATACCAACACAGCCGGGCTCAGAGCATACAGCAGCAGCTGCTACTGTAACTGCATTTTAACCAGAGCTGAAAGTGCTGAGAGAATGGATGTTGATTAATCCGAAAGCTCTCTTTCTGTGTGAAGACACGAGATACTCCACCTTCAGTCAGACCACAGGTGTGAGAGGCAGCCTTAAAGGAATACGCCATCAAAAATCTCACTCCTAAGGATCAAATACTGACGCTCTATGCTCAGAATAGTTTGCAGTTAGAGTTGCAATGGACGGCAGCTATACTCAGACTGGACTTACAGCACATACAGCAGATTACACTGGAGACCAAGAGTCAGTAAAAAACAAGACTAATTTACAGCTAAACACAAACAAGTACAGACAGGCTGACGAGAATGGGACTGATTTTCAATTATCTATAAATACTCAACAAACTTAAATTATGACCTGATGTTGGCACTAGAAGAAAAGTCGGGATCATCAGGATACAGCTACTGGAAACCATGGATGTCTGTACAAAATGTGGGGGTAACCCTTCAATAGATGAGATATTTCACTCCGTGAAACATAACCTGCTGTGGTACTGCAGGAAAAGTTATCTGGATACTTGAAAGTCATTTCTTGGCAATCCACCATCAACTGACAGAGAGACACTCTGATCTCGAGCCTCCTGAGACCCGCAATGCATTTTTGTCCTGGGTAGTGAGTATGTGTGTGTTCTGTTCCCAACACCTTGATAGTGGCCTGAAGTTTATTATTTATTGATTCAACATTTTAATGCCTTTTAATCCACTTCTGTCATTCACCTGTATGTTCAAAAGAATTATTCTTTTGCCATATAAATACAATACTTCTGCTAGAGCTTTAGAGGTATCAGGAGCCAGCAGCAAGACAAATTAGGAATACATTTCACTGTCGTGTCGACACAGTGAGTTTCAAACATACTAAACATGTGGATTAATGCCACACAGTTTCCTCTGCCTCTCTGTTGGAAGCCAGTGAAAACTCTATGAATCATAGTTAACTATGGTCGCTATCTTAAACAAACAAGGGACCCAGAAACACCTCAGCACCACCTTTCAGGCCTATAAGGAGTGAGAATTAAATAAGAGAGTTTCAGTGACGGATTTAAGTTTTGAAGGTTGATTAATTGGGCCTTGTGGGAAAGTGTGGGTGTAGAAAGAGAGTAATACTCGGACATCAACTGCAAACACGCAGTGCAGCTTCTCAAAGCAGCAAAAGAGCTAGGAGTACATGAATGTGTTGATAGGCACTTTGAGGCATGAGTTTGTTTAACAAAGTGAATGAGAAGCTGAGCTTTGTTTGAAGAAAGGTCATATCTGTTCAGCACATTCGTTCAGGGCAAAGAAAAAAAAAGTCAAAAGCCACAAATGCAGTAAAGCTCTCTAAATGGTAGTGATGGAAGTGGTTCATACTTGCACATGCAAGATTACATACATTTGCCAACCAAAAAAATAAAAATAAAAAATCCTATTATCATCCCTCTTCACAGATTTTTTTTCTTGCAGAAGCAGTCACCATCAAGGATAATTGAGGCATAACAGCACTTTATGTTTACTTGGGGCTTAGATTAGTCTCTGGGAATGTCATTAGTGGTTGTGATTGCTGCCTGTGAGACTGGCAAGGAGGGCGCTGGAAGCACAGAGGAAAGGCACTGGCACAAATTAGGGTTTATGGGGGGAAAAGTGAGAATGAACCCAAACCAAATTACCAGAAAACACGATGCGGTAGGCTGAGGCAGCACTGATGACCAGGGTCACTCCACCCTTCCTGGCGGTTCCACAGTTTGATGGTGTGTTAACATGTATGGGTAAAGGGGAGGGGGTGGGAGTACCATGGTAAAAGTAGAGCCAGCATTAAGGAACCAGTTTTTTCAGCAGAAAGGTGGCTAAGGAATGGAGGGGGGTTCCATCTAAAGTGGGGCAACAATCAGAGCCAGCTGAAAACAACCGAGTGATGTGTGGCTGTGCATGTACGTGTGTGTGTGTGTGTGTGTGCTGAAAGTTCCAAAATGAAGCAGGGAAGACAGGAGGGTTGAGTGGTTTGATGGGAGGGAAGGGTATTACACTGTCCATCAGCTGCAGCGAGCTCTTCAGAGCTGAAAAAAACAGCACTCCTGCACACAAGTGACCCGAGAGGTTCAGCCAACAGGACTCTCGTACCCACACAAGACACTGAGGCTCTTGGACTGAATTCACTTCTGCAGACATTTGGCAGGTTCATGTCTATATCAGTATAATTTCAGACATTTTAGAAAATAAAAAAATGAAAAAAAAAACCCATTAAATATTAAAATGAAAAAGTGCAAATTATATTGTAAAACTACTATTTGCAGTGCAAACATTCAGTATTTTAACTATTTATTTGTGGCACATAATAATAACAACCTTTCTAAGTATGTTACACACAAGGAATTTGTTTCCAGTAGAACTGAGGCAGCCATCTGTGGCGCCAACCCACATCGATGGCTCTAACCATGGGGGGGGGGGCAACTTGGGGGTTCAGTGTCTTGCCCAAGAACACTTTGACATGTGGACTGCAGGCACCAAGATTTGAACCTCCGACCCTCCGGTTGGGAGACGACCACTCTACCCACTGAACCACAGTCATCCCCTAATCAGCGGCTCATTAGTATGTTTTTCACATTTGTCTTTTTACAAAAAAAACCTTCCCTGAGTAGGAGCGTGGTGATCTGTGGCAGCAAGAGGCAACAGATTTGAGGTGGTGTTAAGGCACAAGATCCCGGAGAAATTTGGTTTAACACCATTTGGGGTAAAAATATGCAAAAGCTGAAAATGGTGATCCTTATTCAGTCTAGAGTTTCAGCCAGAACTCAAGCTGGTTTTTAGAAAACCAAACTTAATTAAACTTGTGACAGGTGGCTGACTGTAACTGAATTGGAAAGAGCAGCCTAATTTAAAAAAGTTTTAACTGTTGAACTGAATATATTATATATTTAAATACAGTCGTTGAAAGCAGAGATGAAGACTATGCAAATGGCCAAATAACTGTGCTACAGCATTGGGACACATGCAGAGGCATCATTAGACCCCTTTTACTGGGGCACGTCTCCCAGTATTGATCTCCTGAGCCCCAGTAAACAAGCTCCTATATTTGGTAGTGCATTAATTTAGATTGATAATAATGGGAAATGAATTGATTTGTTGTTCTAATCCAGAATGTCAACGCAAAATACAAGCTGAGGCACAGTGGTCAGGGTTCATACGCCACAGTGCATCGTAGCTGGGGCAGCAATCCATCTATTGGCGCATCAAAACAAAAGAAAGGAATGGACTGAGGTATGTGACTGGGACTATAACATAATATTTGCTGGTCTTGTCACACAGTCCATATTATGTTTTTGCTGCATTTTGATGCACAAGTGAATCTGAGGCAGAAAGTGAAAGTATGGAGGAAGCTACGAGTGAACACAAACATTAAGGGATATAACGAAAAGATAAAATGGTAATTAATGAAACTGCTGCAACAAACAAGTGCATCAACAAGCGCCTCAGTAATCCACCACAGATACATCCCACATATCAGTTCGTCCCTGTCGGGGTGGCAGTTACCATTTTCAACGGGGCCAATATCAGGATGACATAGCGGACCTCGCAGCAGTTTTCTCCCCAGTTCTGCGGTCTCTCCAGGCGGGAGATGCACACGTGACGCCTCTGGAGATGCTTCACGTTGCAGCTGGAGCAGAGAGGGAGAAGGGGGAGGTTTTATAAATGTCAACACCTCACCTCACCTCACCAGCAGCACCCTTCATTTCCATGGATTAACCTCTTGCTCTGCAGCAACAGTTAAAACAGTATTCAAATGTGAGCCTGCACTCACTTGTGCGCGTGCGCACACACACACACACACACACACACACACACACCTGAATGCATGCAGACTTACCCACTGCAGAAACAGATTCCTACAGTTTAGTCTGTTTATTTTAAATTCAAATATTACATTAATAAAAATATCCAGTACCACATTTACATACTGTCACTGGCCAATGGAAAAATAATCTCCAAATTTAGTGACTGAGTTTTCAGATAAACTTTTTCTTTCAGCCTGTTTTTCTCAGCTGAGGAGAAACTGAACAGCAGATATTGTTTTATATGGTTATGTGACAATACTGATTTTATTAATACCTAAACAATTTGATTAATATGTTCCAATAGAATACATTTATTAATATTAATGTTGTTAAGTCCACTATCTTTATCATAACTTGTAGAGTTTGTTGTATTTTTTTTTTTTATTAAATTGTATCTGGTTTACACTTACACGTAGCTGCAAAGTTTGTTATAAATCCATAAAAGAATGGCTTAGACTTCCTGAATTTCATTTTATGAATGAAAAATGTCCCTAATAAAATAAGTGTTCATAATAATTTCATGGCCTTTGTTTTTAAAATAAAGTCCAAAAAATGATATTTTCACTTGCAAATTCCTGTTTTAGAAAATAGCCAATAGTTGATATCATCCCGAAAAGTCGTAGTAAATTTACAGTAAAAAAAACAAAACGATCTGATCTGCTGTTTCTACATCTTCTTCACAAAAGGAACATATAGTATATTACAGTCTAGACCAAAGTGTCACCTTAGAAATTCTCCAGAGGGATAAACTCCTGACAGTTTTAAAATGGATAGAGGGTAGATGAGTCTTTGTGTTGGGTGCGATGAAGGTTTATATCCCAGACAGACTCTGTAGTCTCATTTAGCCACTTGTTAGCAGCCGCCTTTTTTAATACATGTAAAAGCATTAAAAATCATGAGTGGGGTTTTTATTGATTTATTTCATTTCATAGAACAAAATGTGAAAAGGACCTTATTTCAGGTGTCTAACCAAAAACCCATTCAGACTTCAGGGCAAGGGAACCGGAAATTCAAAAATGCCAACTCAGTCCTGGGTTTTGGGACTCGCTACTACAGCACTCTATCCTGGGGGCGTGTTCACTCGCACATCAGCAGCGCTTGGTGAACAAAAAGCTCACAGAGGAGCCCACAGAAACATCCTGGAGAAGAAATATTTATGTCTGAAACTCCAACAAAAAGAACACAAGGAAATGCATGTAATATATATCTATATCTATCCATCTATAGATATAGATATATGTTCCTTTTGTGAACATGTAGAAACAGCAGATCAGATCATTTTTATCTTCTTTTTTTTTTTTTTTACTGTAAATACCTCAAGACTTTCCGGGATGATATCAACTATTGGCTGGTTTCTATCATACATACACACCCCTATATCCAGCCCATGGTAAGACACAGCCAATAAAAACTACACACATTTACAGGAACCTCAGGCATGGTGTCTAAAGCTAACGTTGTTCTCAGCCTACTGTAGGCAGGGTCATCACTTTTTGTATAAAATTACAATTTTAGTTCCAGCCAGGCTGCATTGTAGGTTAGGGTTAATGCAACAGAAATGAAGGAATTCAAACTGGATGTTTTCTTTTGCTTCTTACTTCTTTTTCCTTTTACAGCTAATTAGCATTTATTTATTTATTTTTGTGAGCTGGCCGTGGTCCTGAAGCAACAATGGTGGAAGTGCATGAGGGACATTTCCCTCTTAATTAACATGCTCTGCTGATTATGTTTAATTGCCACTGTGCAATAAAATGGTTAATTATTGTATATGGCAAGTGCATGAGCTGCTCGTGTTCACACCTGTCCTGATTAAGAGTTTCAGATGATCTTCTGTCAAGCTCCATGTTGCAATAACATAAGAAACATTTAACTGGCCTGTTGTCGTCACAAATAAATTTTAGGCTGCATAGGTTATAAAAGACAACTTTTTGTTTATACCATTGTGTGCAGCCTTAAAAGGCTATGGTCTAATATGCAGCTCTTCTGGGGGAGGATGGCCCATCCACTTGTACTGGCCCACCCAGAAAAAGATTTCTGCCTACGCCACTGTGTGGGAGTGATGTCTTCAGAGCTCGTTTGTCAGACCAATAGTCCGAAAGCCAAAGACATTCAATTTACAGTGATATAAAAACAAAAGAGTGAAAAATTCTCACATATGAAAACCTACAATCAACATGCAGTAAACTTTTTTTCTTGATAAATGCAGAGAGATAATCATTTAACAAAACTGATGTTCAGTAAATTTGTTAATCAATTAATTGATTAACTGCCATTTTTAGCCCAAAACCACACAGAGTCTTACTCTCACAGACATTATGGCTTACAGGATGCAGAGCCAGGATTGCTGGTACTGGATCCCGGTGGCAGTGGCCGTCACCCCCTGGATCGTCTCTGACAGCAGATGAACTGTAGGGAGAAGGTCAGAGGTCAAATACGTTAGTGAAGATCCATCTCATGTCCAGTTTGATCTTCACACACTAATATTCTGCTACACACATTTGAACTTTTCCTTTTCTGTATGGGCATCCTCCCACTGCTGCTGCCTGGCTAAATGTAACATCATGTGTTCATTTATAGGAGCCTCCATTATTTAAGAGAGTATTTATGAATTTATTTAAGAAAGCTGGCCCCAATTTCTAGCCCAAAGTTTAAAATGGGTAAAAATCTCCTGCCTTGTCTGCAGTGCTAAGCCTCTCGACATGACGTCTATATCAGAAGTGTTTAATGAGCCAGTCGGCCGGCACTATGTGCAAACGCCACACCATGACAGGTTAATAATAACGCCCTTCCAACTCCAGAAAACACTAATGCTCACGTTAGTGGATTATAAAAATACATTAAGCTGCCATGTTTACACAGGACAAATCATTAAACCTGAGCAGCAGCGACATGGCTGAAGCCTGTGTGTTGCCTCTCAATAAGGGGAATCTCCCTTCCGACTTCTCACGCTGAGAGTGATGAATAATAGTGTTTTGGGGGATATTCTTCAGCAGGCCCGACTTTCCCAAACCCCTCAAGAAGATTCGCCTGCTTTGGCTGTGCACCCTCTTTCACTCATCAGCACAGAGCAAATTGCAGGGTGGAAATGTTTTGTATCGTAAGCAGCAGGGACGATCATTTCCATATCATTCGGATTTTCCCTGCCAGCGGTTTCTCTTTGTCTTTCCTTCCATCTCTCTCCCTCTTTCTCCCTCTACCATGCCATCTCATCAATAAAGTATCCTCCATTCATGCCAGAAAATGATGGGCGTCACCATGACAACAGTATCACAGTGCTCAAGGAGTGAGAGAGCCAGGAAGGGAATATGAGAAGGGGGAGGGGGGAGAAAAAAAATCCTGTAGAGAAAGAGAACGACAAGGAGGAAAAGCCCGGCACGTGGGCAAGAAAAGGAAAAACAAGGGAGAGACGGAGAAAAACGAAAGAACAAAGAGCGGCAGGAAGAAAGAACACAAAGGAGACATGCAGAGAGAATAAAACAGAAATAAAATGTGAAAGACACCAGGGCAAAGAAGGACCAAGGGGGGGATCGTACAAACTAAGAACGTGACCAGCAAGAAGGAAAATGGTGAGAGCGAGAGACAGGGGAAGGAAAAGGGACAGAAGTGAAGGAAATGGACTAAAATTCAATTCAATTAATAGCAGTGAGCCTGACAGCCATGTAACAGTCAAAAACCATCTAAATTTCTCATTGACGTCAGTGAAGAGGGGAGACAGAGAGAGACAGAAACATGAGATGCAAACAGAACAAAAGAGACAACGGGAGGAAAAGAAAAAGAAGGAGACAGAGGATAAAGGAGAGAATAGTGAAGAAACAGAGAGGTCGATGATGTGCACGGCAGGGTTGTTGTGGTCTGTCATACCTACAGACTAGGTAGAAGCTGGCAAATAAAATCAAAAGCACCGGTGTCTTTTTCTAAGTGTTTCAGTGATGAGAAAAATTAACCAGCCAAAGTACAGCACATGATCGGTGTTCACGGTTAAATATCATGATTACTCAACGTGGAGAACACAATGATGTACTTTTGTGATTCATCCTAGGAACACTTCCTGATTTTATGATGAATGTATTTTACTTGCAATATGTCTTAAATAAGATTTACACTGAAAAGATCAGTCTCTGAAAATATGCAAATATAGCTGGAGGTTTATAGTATCGACTGTACACTTGTGCAAGTTGCATATTGGACCATGAACTAGAACTAGTTCTTATGTCACTAAACCTGCTCATGCATACAGGTCTTAGAGAAACTTTCATCCTTCAGTTTCCTGGTGTCAAACTCATGGATCTTTTTGAGTGGAGGAGGACTTTAAACAAGAAGAGAAACAAATCAGTGCTTCCTGAATGAGCTGTTCCTCCAACTGGCTGGATGGTGGAGAACTTTGTGATTTCATGCCAGGTTTTATTCAGATTCAACTTGTTCTTAACAGAAATTAATTAAAAGCAACATCTAAAGTGACTATTTTCTAATGTCTTCAAGCAGATGTTTCTTCAATCACTCCAAGCCCTTTTATACATATAACAACTTATTTGCAATAAAATGGTCACAATCATGCAGAGGACATGAGAATATAACGTGCAGTACCTTACACCACGGGCTGAGGTGAATAAACCCAGTGTTGATGTTAGAGGAGGGGAAGTGTGTGACAGTGGCTGCCGGTGTGATCCAGTGGGAGACTAATTAAGACATGCACGTTTGATACTTGTCAGTCATGTGAAGATTTCTGCCCCGTTTCATCAGCTCTTTCTATGAAAACACTGCTGTTTCCACACACAGATGTTCACACGCAGTGCATCAAATGTGACAAATTTCAATGGAAAAAGATGAAAAACTACGAGGAAAGCCAGACTGGATGGATGGATTGTCCCCTTTGATCTGCAGGATTCTAACTGCATTATCCACGCCATTGGGTTGGCAGGGGACAAACTGAATTGCATTTCCTGTAAACCACATGGGCATAATGCAGTCTGTCACACATAAGACGACGAGAATCAATTAGTATGCTAAACCATTCAAAAAAAACCCTGTAAAGTTAATATTTCTTTTGGCCTATGTGCCACTAGCATAAACAGCAGAAAATTATAAAGATGTGCAGGCACAAAACAGATTCATTGCTTCTCTCAGTCCATGAAAGGACCACGAATTCTTTTGGCTGGCAGAGTCCTCACGTTTTCCTCAGAGGAGACCTCAATAAAACCTCCTGATCTTTTGCCGTCTAAAATATTAACACAAACACGGGTAGGCCTGCCAGTGAACACACACACACACACACACACACACACACACACACACACAGAGGAAAATGACTGGTCTCCTTCAAACTGTGGGTTATGGAGGGTACTTTGAAGGAGGTGATTAAACAAAGGAGGGCCCCACAGAGCAGTGGCAGATGAAACACGTGGGTATCTATCAGAGCCCATCACCACGCAGCTCACAGATGCTCTGTCACATGGTGATGAGAGGGCCACTAGGACTGGGTCAACGGTGAAACCTTGTTTTCTAGAGAGGCTGTTAATTCCCATCTTCTACTTTCTTGCATGAGAACAAACTACATTAATGCTAAATAAACCCACTCCCTACATGAGTATTGCAGCCAAGTCAATTACCATATATATGAAATGCTAAGTTCCAATTATATAACCACTTTGAAAAATGAATCATCTGAATATCTCCAGTAGAGGATCAATCTTTCCTACTGGAGACAACTACAAAATCAAAATCGCCCATTAAAATTAATGGATTTAACTTTTTTTTTTTTAAACACAAAACCAGGGTTTTACTCCATAAGGCTTAAAAAAATAAAAATAAAAATACATCCACTGGATGGAAAGGGTGTTGATTTGAGGGGCAGCTGAAGAGACATCGATATCTGTGACACGGGAGGGATTTCTGGTGTCTGTAATCATTTGACGACTCTATAGATTGACCCAGTCCTAAGCCTCGGAGATGAACACAAACAGCGTACTGATGGTGATTGGTACAGAAGCCAAACCACTGATTGCAGCCTCACGGCAGCTGATGCTGACATTTTCACCCAATTAGCACAGCTTACCGTCATCAAAGAAAACGAAACTTTGAGACTTGTCTGCATGCGGAGAAGGAGGGAGAAAAACCAAGAGGAGAGACCACAGAGTCAGTTGAGTCACCTTTTACAATCAACAGTCATATACACACACACTGTACCCATACACATACATACATACATACATATAGACACACTGTCTGGTTAACAGGCATACATATCTCTGCTGAACAGAAGCTTCATTTCCTGCCCTCCATTGCCTCATGCATATTAAATATCATTTTCCAGAGAAAATCCCTCAATGTCTCATTGTTGGCTGCAGAGAGATCTTATCTTCATTGCCGTCTACAGCCTATTACCAAAAAGTGGACTTTATCACCGGTTGCAGTTATTTGCTCAGCTATTGCAAAGAAACCCAAAGACATCAATGACAAGATCAAGATGAGACAAATGACATGTATGGCCACCGTTTCTCATGTGGCACAGAGGCTGAATTAATGGTGTTAATGTTCGCCATTCCTGCACAGAGATCTTCAGAGTCATGTTGCTAGACTAGAAAAACTATAGTATTAATGTATTAGTAGCAGTAAAAATATGATTATAACAGAGGCACAGTCAGTTGATGCAACAATACACAGGATTTTACCCATTAATGAATTTCCAGTTTACAGTTCCTGCTGTCAGGAATAAAATGCATCTGCACCAAGTTTATTTACACACTGTGAAACAGAAGAATAGCAGTTTTCTCTAGGGGTTTTTCAGCAGTGCTGCTGTTGTGCACACGCCCACGAGTGCATGACACTGGAGTCGTAGCTTAAAATGAAGTAATCGTTATGAACAGGGTTACTCATGCATTCATACATTAACATCCAAACGAAACATCCCGTCATTAACTTAAGGAATGACGAGTCTGCAGCCCTGCTGCACTCTACTCCTCCACGGTCACCATCATCCTTTTTTAATGAGCGTCTCAGACTCGGCTAAAAATTCAAATATGATCTGACTAAACATGTTAGTGTACAGTACAAAGTTGTACCAGTTTAATTTAAGTCTATACCTTTAAGTTAGCACCTCGTGTGATCAGGACATCAATAAAACCGACTTGTTTGTGCACAGTTGAGTAGGAAAAATAAAGCGTTATGAAAAATTAAACATTTTTAAACGCAAGATTCAGCCGCTCATTAACATCCAAAGTGGTGACTCATATGTGTGCACATCTGGGCCAACAAAACAAGTATTCTTCTTCATTAATTATCAGGCTACTGTGATGACTGAACGAGATGCAACTGCCTTCTAATTGAGCTAGCTCGGTCAGATAATGTACACTTATCTCCAAAAATGGAGGAATAAATTTAGAAATTGGCTTTGCTTGGATAGACTGACCACATATTGTCAATCTAAGTGGTCACCTGACAAAAATATCACAACTTCATAAAATACCTTCATACCTGTCCTAGGATGAAAATGTTAACAGCTTTGAGCCTGGCTCAAATCTCTGCCATCAGGCTCTCGCCCAGCTGTCGCTGCATAGAGCAGATCTTTCCCCAGCTGTGGGCTGTCGCCTGCTGGGCTCCTTCAGCCCTCATCTCACACTGCAGGGTGTACTGAGTAGCAGCACTTGGTTTCCATTGACAATGAACGGGCAGCTGTCACTAACCCAGGGTTTTATCTCCGTATATGCTCAGAGAGCTCAGCACATAGCTGCGCACTTTGGCCGCAAGGAGGCTCACATACAGTCAAGCAGCCTTTCCAGCATCACAATGGTGAATAATGTTTAAAAATATTCCAGTATCCAAATTATGATACAGATCAGCACCAAAACCTAATCCACTGTTCCGTGGGCCGAAACCCTACCTCTCCAAAAATGTCATCCGAATCCCTTCATTACCTTTTGAGTTATGATGTTAATAAACAAACAACAAATGAAAAAAATTAAAAACATAACCCCCGCCCCTGGCAGCAGTAATAATGAAGCACAAGTGTTTGATTTGCTTGCACAAATGTGCACAAACAGCGTACAATCAAATGAGACCACTCTGGAATGCTCTGGGGATTAATGGGTTGCTGACATAACAGGCCTGTGCTTAAAACTTTACAACTCTAAAATTATAAATATATGACTGTTTTTCAGGTTGATTGGAGCTGTTGAATAAAAAAATAAATAAAACACGGGAATTATGCAAATCAAGGTGAAGTGGTGAGATCGATCAAAGGTGACAGCAATTTCAGGAGAAATTATAATACAGTCTTCACAAACAGGGCACACAATCAGCAGTGCACATACTGTAGAAGCAAGCAGTGCGGCTGCAAACAGACAGGAAAATACAATTCAACAAGACATTACTCAAAATTCTGATAATTATCATTCTGTGGCAGCACTGTCATCGTCTTCACCATCTCATTACCATTTACACAGTATGTTTAAATAATCCAAATATGTTTTTAATAGAAGCAAGTTTATTGTATACAGTAGAGGCTGAAGTAACATCATCATCAGTGCTGTTCACTGTTCCTCCTTCTATCCTTGCACAATGTGTGGACTGTGCTCCAGCACTAAATCTCAAGACAAAAGCAAAAAAAAAAAAAAAAAAGGAAAAAGAAAAGCACAAGTTGGCTTCCAAATATCGACTCCTCTGTACAAGTTGAAGGAAGACTAATTATCTCTGTGGGCTTTCATCTTTTTCCATTTCTGTAATTCTCTGTTCTTTCTGTGCAGGTTATAATCTCACCCTGTTCTCTTTATCTCTCAGCTGAACAGTATTACACTCCAAATGAGCTGCTGTGCTCGCCGGCCGTATCACCCCACCGTGGCGGAGTTAGTGTAGATATGACAGAAATTAATACTTGACCAGATATGCGCTGTTGATAACATACTTGCATGCAACATGAACATATTCCCCCTGGAAGGGCATTTGGTCCTCCACCCACTTTTTTTTACCCTCAGTACTGACAAGATGTGAATGTTCATGATTTTAAATCAGACATCTTACAGTACTCTACCTGGGAAGTCTTACCCTGAATAAAATGGATTCACATAAAATCAAGACGTTGAAGACAAAAGACAAAAACAGAATCCCACCTTTTGATTTGATGCATATCCTTATTAATCAGCAACTGATAATAGCAAATCAAAATTAAAGAGTTATGACTAAAATCCAAAGGCAAAAAGCTTTGTTGTGGTCACAGTATATTTATTGCTAAATCTTTAAGTAGCTCAGAATTTACTTCCATTTATACATATAATTTAAAAGCTACAGTCCTGCTCATTTGCAAGTTTTAGTTGGTCAGAATGTATTTGTTGCATAACTGTACAACTGCTGCTAAATCAGTACAATGACCCAATTCTCATTATATCTATTATTCATGGTTCAAATGATTTAAAACACTTCTTGTTGAGATACACACACACACACACACACATATATATGTGTATATATACTGTATGTTCCATTAGCATAATGACTACTTTTACTACTTTGTTTTGATCCTAATAATATCGACTCATACTTTGATGGTATATATACAGTTGTTGGTTTTGCGAACCAACGGTAATTGTCAACCTATGGCTGTGGATTTTTCTTACAGCGTTCTGGACATAAACATATTCTTGTTTCTTTATTTTTCCTCTGCTGCTGTATGCTATTTCAATATACCGTGAAACCTCTGAATGCTCAAATTGATTTTCAAAACAGCCCAGACCTGTGCAGGAAGCCTTTTTTGTTAAGACGGCAGTGTCGGGGGAAAATTAAAAGCCTCTTCCTCTGCCTGTCTGTGGGGTTTTCTGGAAGACAAACAGTCAAGTAGCACCAGCCGGCACAGTTTGAGAATCTCAGGGAGCCTTTTGAAAAGCTAACTGAGTGATCGATGACAGAAGTCAATTATCACCTTGCGAATCTGTCAGAGGCAGCTGTGCAAGGAGAGCATCTCACAGCACCCATTTCTGACTAGCCATCAACAACTGGGGACACCAGCCCAGCCAGACAGGAAAACACTGGGACACAGATGACAGGCGGCTCCTAAACTGCCATCATCACCACATGCCCTTACAGTAGTAAGAAAACCCTTCTCATGTCTTATCTTCATCAGCCCAGCATCTTTATAGACAAACATTTTATAGACAGGAAATGATTAATGTACCGAAAAAAAACGCAAGTTCTTTGTGATATTAAATAGAAGGAAAGCAGAGTCTGATTTGCCAAACGATTAGTGCAGCTTTCAATATGGCCTGTGGCAGAAGGCGAGACAATGGCTTCACACTGTTATGTAAGAGGGTGGATTTCTCCTGCTCTAATGGGCAGGAGATTCACCTTAACCAAGAGGCTTTGCTACTCAGCCCAAAGGACCTGTGCTGACAATGAACACCAGACCTGGAGAAGCTACAGCTCATTTCAGAAACAAATCTCTGCATTAGGAGTGTAAGGTGTGCATTAAACTTTAAGTAGGTCTCATACACTGTGTGTGCTGTCAAAAACAATTTCAATTATAAATGAATCTTGGTGTAGCTTTTGGGACTTCTCTAAAACCACTGGCAAACAAAGAAAAACCTTTTCCCTATTAAACATTAAATAACAATGTTGAATTGATTTAACATTTTTGTAAACAAGAAACAGTATCCTACTTTAAAATGGCAACTTGGTGACAAGAGAGAGAAGAATAAACCAAAAACATTATCAATTATTGGAAAAACACCAAACTACAATTCAGCCATGAATGGAGGCGACACGCCCATAGTTTTATCAGTTGTGTTGTTTGTTCTTCATGGATTTTGTGCTTGTCCTCTTTGCACCATATGCTTGTGCGTTAATGCGTAGGATAACCACTCGTCAGTTTTCCTGGGAAACGTCTGATGTCTGCACATGTTGCTGACACAATTCAGCACAATGAGCTCTACTTGTGTCCACTTAAAAAAGCTGCAGGGCAAATGGACAGCCCTGGTTCAAACATTACACATTTTCCTTTGGGGCATAAAAGCTTCTTCAACCATTCTCAAGTCTGTCTGACAGCTCCTGAGCCTGAGGGGAAGCCATTTTTCAGGTAGATGTCAACATGTGCAGACACACTGTGGGATGCTTTTAGGTCAGGTGTCAGATGTTACAGTCTTGTTTAGCTTTAGATGGTGGGCAGGCACAGACGGTACAAGTCCTCTGTCGCATTGTGTTGTGTGCTTTTGTGGCTGTGTATGTGTGTGTATTTTCAACATTTCTCTACATGCTGGTGTATACATGCACACAGACTGGGTCTCTGCTTACCGTTGACCTCCTGAGCTCCTGCATCTGTGAAAAGCATGCTCATCACCTCCTCGAAGTTGCAGCCAGGCTCAGATGCATGACTGTCCTGACCCACGTGGTGCAACATTCTCTTCAGAACGTCATCCAGGGAGGCAGCCGTCTCATCCAGCAGAATACTGGCCCTCGCCAGGAAGCCATCCAGGTCCCGATGTGCCCGAACTTCCTCTTGAAAGTTCATCAGCTTCACATACTATGGGAAAAGATTGAATTATTTCAGAACATAAATATTTTTTACTTCAGTTGTCTATGCTTATCATGCCATATGGTGTAATCTTAAAGACTGGAATGCACTGATCCAGCCATGTGGTAAGCTGACACTACATGCATATAAAGCTCTGTTTGGATCACTCCCACCAGAAAACAGCTGTCAGGTTACACCACCAGGCCCATATGAATGGCTGAACAAAGTGTAGATATGGGTGCAGTTTCAGAAGCTAACAACTGGGCCTCATGACAGTGGGTTACTTTGCTGTTAAAAATGTAAACACAAACAGCAAGAATACCAGAAGAGTCAGACAGAATCTCTGATGTGAGAGAAGGAATTCGAACCATTCTGGCTAAACAGCCAACTGTAAAAACGATAGTGTAATATTGAAGACAATACCACTGTGACACAACGATCATAGGTTCTGAGGCAAGATTTTACTGATCTACTGAACAACTGAGGTGCTTTTATCAGCAGTCTCAGCTGAGGTCAGCAGAGGAGAGTCAGCAGACTGATGGCACTGGACAGATGACCATGTAACCTACAGAAAGTGTACTTCCTCGATAATCTAAATTCTTTCTGGGACAGCAGACATTTTTTTTTTTAGGGCCAATGGAATTTATCTTAAGTCAGGAGTGATGCTGTTTATCTCAAACCTTTTCTATGTCCTTTGTCCTTCATCTGTTCCCCTCACCAGGGACAAGAGAAGCCAAAACACCAAGAAGACAACACATCAGCAACCACGTGGGAGAGAAGAGCCACCTCGGGGCCTGCCTGAGGAGACTTTAAAACATGAGGGACAGAGAATCTACAACAACTGAGGACACATCCTCTTCACCTTCCATCCACATCCAGTTCTCCCTACTCCCTTCCCTGCCCCCCACCCGTTCCTTTCTTTTTCTGGATTTCTGCTAGGACCAAACTGGCCCTTCACCCCTTCCCCTACCCAACTCTTGTTTTCTCTCCCCCAGCTCCACCTGCACTTCAAAATGTGTCTTAGCCATGACACTGTCTGGCTCCTCCTCTCCCTACTTCACAGCAGCAACAAAACCATTCTCCATCTGATCAAACCACAGCACATCCTGTGCGTGCCACAGACAGTGTACAAAATACAGCTTTCTCCTACCAATACCTGTTGGGTCCAGGTTACGAGGATGATGACACCATGAATGCTCCCCAGACAAATTGTGACCCAGTGGGCAATCTGTAGTTTTTCTTATGCCTGTGATAATAGCTAACAGAAGGAGAACAATGCACCCTGCTCAGATTAAGGCCCTCCAAACTTTACGTTTTGACTTCTGTGTGTTAAAAGGCACACCAAAAGGTCCTGCTATTAATAATTCACAGGCCTTCAAATTTCACAGACAACTTCATGAAGCTGCTATCTATTATCTTGACTGACTTTGAGTCATTGTCATAGCTGGTGATTTGAACATCCATAATGATAATCCAAAAGACAAGCATGGAAAACAAATGTGTGATTATTTCAAGCATTATTGTCAAAGATGTCAGCGTCTTTGACCATGTCTGTTTTCTTTGATATGTTGGTTTTACCTCGTCCCTGAAACAAATCAATTGCTGTAAAAAACAAGGTATTTAAATGATAGTATATCTGTGCTTATGAAAGCTATTGTATGTCTGTTTCAGTAGCCAACATCAGTCTATATTGATTCACTTTATCATTTTAGCTGTAAAGCTCTTGAACCACTGCACCTGAAAAGGTAAAAATACATCTCTGGCAAGCAAAAGAACCATGGAGAAACACTCCAGTTATCACAACTCAGAAAAGAGAGTGTAGGAAAGCTGAGCACAAATGGAGGATTCATTATGAGATCTTTAGAGAGAGGATTCGCATTTACAAGTCTGAAGTAAATAAGGCCAGACGAGGCTTTTTCTTTTACATGATGAGCAGTAATATAAATAAATTCTCGTGTTTTGTTTGCCACTGTTGAGAAGCTAACTACTCCTCCAACATGGTTAGCCCCTGATTTCCTATTTTGAGACTAAGTATAATGTGTTCGCAACTTTTTTTGTTATGTGGGGAAAAAAAAAAAAAAATCAAAAACATAAGACTGGCCATAAATTCCTCCATGTCAAACAATGGGACCAGACCACTGCTGCAGCCACACAGGATCACTCTGGTTAAAATGTCAACATTCAATGCTATCAGTGCAAAAACACCAGAGGATGTAGTTAAGAATCTAAATTCATCCACCTGCTGCTTGAACATCCTGCCAGCCAGCTTCTTTAAAATGTTTACAGTTGCTTGGAAATGGATGTGTTAAAATTGTCTTGGGCTCTCTCTCTCTCCTGTCAGGTATTTTCCCAAATTACTGAAAACTGGAGTTGTTAAACCTGTTCTGAAGAAATGCAGCCTGGATCCCTCTGTGTTACAGGTCATCCCCAATCTTCCTTTCATTTTGATTCAACTGAACAAACGACCTTTTGGACAGATTTCAGCCTGGCTTTAGACAACACCACAGCACTGAGACTGCACTGATAAAGGTGTTCAAGACATTCATGTCAATACAGATTTGGGTAAAACAACTTTGATAGGGTAGATTTCTCCCTGACTGACTGGAAAAGTGGGTGGGGTTATCAGGTTGTATCTTGAAGGCACAGATTGGTGTTTCCATTGGTGAACATAAATCTTAATGGATTACCGTGACATGCGGAGTCCCCCAGGGTTTGATTCTTGGACCACTGCTATTCCACCTGTACATGCTCCCTCTGGGTCAGATCATACATGACAGTAACGTCACCTATCATATTTATGCTGACGACATCCGATTTTCTTAGCTCTGACACCAAGGGGCTATGGTCCCTGAGACTCACTCTGCCAGTGCTTAGTGCAAGTAAATACCTGGATGCAATAACATTTTCTCCAGTTAAACAAATACAAGACTTGAGTTACTGTTTTTGGCAACAAGAAGTAAAGGACAGAAGCTACGGATTAGCTTGATTCTAGAGCTATAAAGATAAAAACTCAAGTCAGAAATCTTGGTGCAATAATTGACTCAAACCTGGGCTTCACCAATCACATCAAGGCCATAACTAAATCAGGTTTTTACCATCACAAACAAAAAGCAAGACTCAGAGGTCTCATGTCCAGACAAGCTCATTCATGCCTTCATCTCCAGCATGCTGGACTACTGTAACAGTCTTTTGTTCGGTCTTCCCAAAAAGACCAGTGTTACCAGCAGCTGTTTTAATGCTTATTGTTTTAATGCTGTTAGTTTTTCTTTGCCTATATAAAGTGCTTTCATTTGCCTCTTGCATGAAATTTACTATTTTCCTAAGATTAATTTAAGATTTTAGGCTTCCTCATATGCTACATCAGATAGTGTGGACCTGACTATTAAGATCAATGGGTACCACATGAGTACAGAAAAGAAGCGTTTATATAACCAGACTTAAGTAACACATTCTCACATTGAGTCTGCAACACAACCATGAAAGCACCCCTTCACACCACTCTCACTAAGCCACGCAGTGGAGAATACAGAACGCATGCATCACTCCTCCAAAGTTCATCTAATTGGACCACTGGTGTCTGAGAATCACCTGAAAGACAGACGAATGGACAGAGCGACGAATACAGCTCGATTAAGAGCTCAGACACCCACCGGTTCTCAATTTTATCAATTGTGTGATTGACAGAAATTGTGAAGATGAGTGGAGTCCCTGCTGTTCTTTTAAAAATAAAACAATCACTGAGCAGCCATGTCTGAAGTCTCTGCAGAGATTTGTGTAGAGTGCTCTATAAATAAATTTGCTCTTGTTTTGTTTGTGCAAATCTAAAGCAAAGGTGTGGGGGTCTTTTAACCTTAAGTCAAGTGATTAAAAGATTAAGAATAAACGGAATTCATTTGGCTTTGTTTTAGATTTATTTCTAGTCACATGCATTGTGCAAAATGTGTAGTCTTCTGGTCTGGGACAATTTTTAATTCTAAGGAGATTTTGTTTGAGTTATTAATAAAGAAAGAAAAGTACGCAGCTGTTGCAGAGACATAACCACGTCAAAATTTCTTCTAAATATAAATCACTGCTAATAGAGCCACAATAAAGTTTTTGGCGGGGAGGTGTTGATGTGAGCATGTGAAATTGATAAAAACAGAGGGAGAGAGCAAACAAACAGCACTGTAATACAGAATGGGGAGATTAGAGGAAAGCAGGCAGGCAAGCTGTTGGCAGGAACAAGGCAGAACAAGCTGAAATCCGACAGGGTAGTTCTATGAAGCCTAACTTTTGACAGCCTTGGTCACCAGCTTAAACTAATGCCCTCGGGGTGTTGCTTTCAATCCTTGGGCACAGGAGATGACTTGTTGTACATGGAGAAACCTTTTGGTATTCATTTATGATTTTAACGATATTATTATTATTATCTACACAACTAAATGATCAATTGCAACAAACAATCTTTACTGAATATGCTCCTGGTGGGAACCTTATTTCCATCTGAGTTGCGGCTATTAGGGCTATTGATAAACTAGTTTGCCATATAGTGATTCAGATCTTCACAGATTCAGATCAACGTTGTCCTTAGTTTGATGTTGAGTCCACTTTGAGTTTTCATTCAGGCATTAGACATATGACCTTAGAAATATTCCCACAATGTAACATTTTCTCTTTCAAATGGACGATGAAAAGATGTCTGCATGCCTTCATCGCTGGCAGCCCTGATTACTGTAATTTTCTATTGTCTGGTCGTCCCTGGAAGGTTTGAGAAGAAATGTAGATTTTCTAAAATGCAACAGAACAGGTAGTGACCACGTCCAGAGGCAGATGAACATTCCACCTGCCCTCTCTCACTGAGAGCAGACTAATCTACTGCTATTGGTTTGCGAATTGTTCAACTTGCTGATTTAAAGTATGGGTTTCTGATCTGATATGGTCAAATATGTTCCTGCATTCCTCTCTTGTTATTCTGTTCTCTAAGACCTGCAGACCTGGCTTCTTGTCTCTGGACCAGCAGACCAAAGGACCTGAGGCTCTGACAGAATCTCTCTGCAGTTTTAAATGAAGCCCAGCACTTTTAACTAATTTACTTGGAGTCATTCTAAACTGATTCACTAAGCAATACATTCTTAAGGAGCTACACTTTGAAAAACAGAAACCTCTGGCTAGTCAAACTATAATGAAAGGCCCATATTTAAGGATGACACCAGTCTATGTTCTGACATTCTTCACAGATGGTTTTTTCAGCTGTTTTGTCGCTGCAGTGCCTTGGCTGGTTCCATGCCAGAAATGCTGGACCCCATCTGATCCAAACCTATCTACTGTGCTTTCGTGTGATCCAAGATTGTGGTGCCGAGGTTTGTGAGCAATGTTTTTTTTTTTTTTTATTGTACACCGTTTATAGCGGCCGACTTCATGCAATGTCCTTCACAGTGAAACACCAATTTTCACAGATAATGCTTGTGCCAAGTCAGTTACTCAATGCAAGGTTTTGTAAATAGCAAATAGTATGTAGTGTCCTTTTTTGGAGGACGTTCACTGTGCCTTCTGTTATTGGTAGAACTGTAGGTCTCCTCTTATACCACTGCTGCATCTGTGTTTCAGCTTACAGTATGTTCAGTTGATGCTCCATCTTTACGGAGTCTCACAATCTGTTTTCAGCCATGCAGCATTACACAATCCAGACCAAAACGAAAAAAAGCTGTGTTATTTAAAAATCCTTTTTCATGCAATTATCTTTAAATACATATCACAGGTCACACATCACATCACAGCAATTAATTATCATCAAAGACAAAATGACTTCTGTCTCACTCCTGCTGTGTTAAGGTTTCTCCATTGGGTCTGCAATTTCAACACAGTCTATTTAACCTGTTTTTAATTCTGTGAATCACTTAACATGTTAGTGATATTACACAGTGGTGCACTCAGCTTTGTTATGTGTGTTATAATGTACAGCATTTTTTCCACTATGAAAGGTTGATTTGAACAGATTTTTGTGGACGCCCTCCTCTCTGGCTGAACATGTCACAATCAGTGAAATCAGCTGCTATTGTTTTTGTTTGGAATGAAAATCTACAGACGGTTCACAGGTCTCTCCATGCCACATGAATCAAGACATCTGGCCACAATGCAGTGTTCATTCAGAAAGAAGGTCAGTAAAGATGAAAGAATGATGTAGTAAAGCGGGAATGGTAAACAAACAGGACCTCCAGGGCCGTCAAACAGGCAGAACCGTCACAGATGTTTATTATATAGACGTTTTACTGGAATGCTCAAACTGCATCAGCAAACAAAAACAATGATGTCACTGGGATTTCTCGCACCAGGTTTCCAGGTATAATTTCAATGATTAAATTTATTAAGCATAATCAGATTTTCTTTAACCCATTATGGAGAAGCCAGGCACTGTATACACAATTAATGTGCCACTGGCTTTGTTTCAACATTGAAGCCAACCAATTACCATGGAACACTATGCCACTAATAAAGTGACATAAGAAGATAAACAGCAGCAGACAACAGGCCAACTTCCCTAAATGCCCCAAATCCCCCCATCCTCTTAAAAATATTACATTTAATTCAGTGAATATTAACACTTACCCTTCTTGATGTGTTCAGTAACACACAGCCACAGTCGTCAGCGTCTGAGGAAAAACATGACATGAGGTACAATTAAACTTTGAAAGTGTAATGTACTGCAGTGAAAAAACCATTATATACACTGTACACATTTCTCCAGTTAATATGTTATGATGCACAGTGCGATGTCTACATACGGCTCTGGTCACACTGTTGTTGTTAATAAACCAGAAGGTTGCCCCTGTCCTTCTATAACGCATTCTGAACAGCTGGTATAGAATTTTCTGTTGTGGTAAATCAGAGTATTACTGTCACACAACTGGCAAAACTTGTTTGAGGGGTGAAAAAAGTACATCTATAATCAGTCAGCCTCAAAAGATATCCACACTTGTTGGAATATACAAACAGGTGAGTTTAAATTTGATCTGCAGCATGATGTGCAACGTGCCATGATTCTCACTGTATTGTAATAATCAGAATATCAAACGGCTCCTCTGATCAGAAGGGTGATACATTTATTTGGTAAGTTACTGTGTCCCAGTTCTGTTATTTGCATTATTGGTGAATCTGAGCAACTTGTTTTGGGTGAAACTGATCTCATGTGAACCTTTACTTGTGGGTGTATAACAGAGAAAAAGAAAAATCCAAAACAGAAACCATGTCTAACTAATTAAATATGGCTCATAATTATGCAAACTAATTATTAGTTCAGTTCTAAATACCCACAGTAGGCCAACCTTGGGATATCTGGTTCCCAGGAGGGTAGCAATTTTTAAAAATGGCTGCACTGTCCTGAACAACTCTCTGGACGGGTTACAGAGGAACTTGAGAAGATAAAGAAATGGTGTGACAGTAATATAGTATCTCTGAATTTGGATAAAACTAAATTTATGGTATTTGGGAATCGTAGACTAGATAATGAACTTCAATTGAAAATTGGGGGAGCTAATATAGAACGAGTATATGAAATTAAATTTCTAGGTGTCATAGTTGATGACAAATTCACCTGGAAATCGCATATCAGATATGTTCAGCACAAAATAGCAAATTTAGTGGGATATAAGGCTGCTGTGTTTATGTATAAAGCCAGGAACAATTTATTACCTGGTGGAATTCAAAAACTATTTAATGAAAGGGAAGGGGGATACAATTTAAGGGGTCAGTTCAATTTAAAAATCCATGCTATACGTACAACCAAAAAAAGATGTATTTCCATAAGTAGGGTAAAACTATGGAATAATTTAAGTGTGGACATAAAAAATAGTAATAGAATTGACAGGTTAAAACAAATATAAAGGTATGTGTCAATCAAGATATATGCAAGAACAGCCTTAATGATTAATTAGATGGAACATTGTGGGTGTGGTGTATGAATGTTAACACTTTGTAATAATTCTTTAATATATTACTTGTGTGGTGTAGAAGAGAATTATTTAAGAATGTTAACACTCTGTTATAATTCTTTAGTATATTACTTGTGTGGTGTAGAAGATAATTATCTATGTAGTAATACTGCTTGCAAACCAATGATGGTAAGATGATGTCATGGGGTAGGACTGGATAAGTCTGACTTCTTCCTACTCCATTCAAGCATGTACTAGGTATAAGCACATTGATATTGGATTATGTGTAAATTATGTGTGTTGTCATATCAACTGTTTTACATGCTTGAAAGAATAAATCAAATCAAACCAAACATTATTACTAGTAGGACTACAATTGGCAGAGCCTTTTGTCTTCATTATAGAGCCAACAGAAGGGAGATGGCAGAGAGATGTGGACTAACCTGAATACAAATGCTTAATATTTTAATGCAAAACTGCTGTAACATGGAATCCATAATGTTCTGCATTTAACCATTAACCAGAGCATTCACTATTGATGATGCACATTCTGAATTAAAGATAAATAACAACCACCATAAAGAAGCCGGGAACTCTTTTCTTAAGAGTGATGAAAATGTCAAGACTCAAGTCGCTAAATGCGTTCACTGAACAGGGGTTGGAAGCTCTCTGCTGATAAGGCTTTAATACTCACGCCTGTGGAGCCGAGGCGAGTGCTCAGATAAAATACAAAGGTCTGGATTTTAGTACAGGAGAAAAGGAAAAGGAGGAAAAACCTTTTGTTTGAAAACAACACAGGGACAAACCTGGGGAATGAGGTTTTCAACACACTTCAGTCCCTTAACTAGCAGAGTGTCAGTACCGCGCAGACTGTAACAGAACAGTCCGCCAGCACTGTTACATAACACAGTCATTGGCAGTTACTGTGGGGAGGATGTTATCAGGTTACCACGGGCTTTCCTCCTCTGCGCCATGTGATGCACTGTGTCGGCTCCGTCTGGAAATCAATCAGAGCTCAACTCCGCCCTCCAGCAAAGGAAAAGAAAGAAAACCCCCTTTTAACAAGCCAATAAGCCTCAGGAAAGTGCCAGGATATCATCATATCAAGAATCCATCCACAAGTGAACGTTTGAATCTCTAGAAAAAGGATTGGGGGATGGCTTTGATCACCACACCAAACACCTTGCCATCATGAAACCCTGCAGGCAGTGCAGGAAGAAAGACGGCCCCCACCCCTACCTCTTTGTGATGAGACTATGGCAGGGGCCACGTGTCGTGTGCAGTGGATGTGGTTCATCAAAGCCACACAATCAGGAAGCACAAGGCTGGGCTGATCCTCTCCCACAGGGGAGAGGGGACTGCGGCCGTAAGGAGATATTCATATATGATTACATCATCCCCAGTGTTCACCTCCTCCTAATGGTCTGTGTGTGTGTCTCAGTATACCGTGTGAATTTTAGGGTGCAGGGATTAAGGAGAGGAATTGTTAAAATATGGCACAGCCTTGTTTCCCTATTATTTGATCAGTGTGGCACTATAACTGTTGACTATACTGAGTCGGCCACAAGTGTTATGTAATCTCAGAGTGGAGGGCTGTGTTATTTTGTTTATTAAGGGCTGCAAGGTGGCTGAAATACTGACAAGGAAGATCTTAGGCTCAAGTGTCCTTAGTTTGAGGTAGGGCAGCACAACTGAACTAGTGCATATATTGTTTTCGTTTTAAAATTCAGTGTTTCTGCTATTAGGTGTACATTAAGGCCATTCAATCAGGCTGTGCTGCAGCTGTTTTTCTTAACACAAACCTGACCTCATGTTATTTACAGGTGCATCTCAAATTAGAATATCATGGAAAAGTCCATTTATTTCAGTAATTCAACTCAAATAGTGAAACTTGTGTATTATATATAAATTCAGTACACACAGACTGAAGTAGTTTAAGCTGTTGGGTCTTTTAATTGTAATGATTTTGGCCCACATTTAATAAAAACCCAATAATTCACTATCTCAATAAATTAGAATACCTCATAAGACCTATAAAAACCATTTTTAGTGAACTGTTGGCCTTCTGGACAGTATGTTCATTTACTGTATATGTACTCAATACTTGGTAGGGGCTCCTTTTGCTTTAATTACTGCCTCAATTCAGCGTGGCATGGAGGTGGTCAGTCTGTGGCACTGCTGAGGTGGTATGGCAGCCCAGGTTTCTTTGACAGTGGCCTTCAGCTCATCTTCATTTTTTGGTCTCTCATTTCTCATTTTCCTCTTGACAATACCCCATAGATTCTCTATGGGGTTCAGGTCTGGTGAGTTTTCTGGCCAGTCAAGCACACCAACACCATGGCCATTTAACCAACCTTTGGTGTTTTTGGCAGTGTGGGCAGGTGCCAGATCCTGCTGGATAATGAAATCAGCATCTTTTAAAAGCTGGTCAGCAGAAGGAAGCATGAAGTTCTCTAAAATGTCTTGGTAAACGGGTGAAGTGACTGTGGTTTTCAAAAAACACAGTGGACCAACACCAGCAGATGACATTGCACCCCAAACCATCACAGACTGTGGAAACTTAACACTGGACTTCAAACAACTTGGGCTATGAGCTTCTCCACCCTTCCTCCAGACTCTAGGACCTTGGTTT